AAAAAAAAAAAAAAAAAAAAAAAAAAAAAAAAAAAAAAAGAAAAAAAAAAGAGAGAGAGGAAAGAAAAAAAGTGAAAAGGCTCCTTTGCTGCCCTCTGCCTGCCGAGGCTGCGGGGGAGCCCGGCCGCCTCCTCGGCTGGGGAAGGGCTCGCATTTCCTGGGTGGAAAAACTGAGGAAACGGGGCCAGCTCGAACACCTGTGGTGCTTTCACAGAATCGCAGGATCCGTCAGGTTGGAAAAGACCTCTGAGGTCATCGAGCCCAACCTTTCCCTGCTCAGGATGCGCTGAGTTATCCTTTGTCCCAGGCATGGATGCGCTGCTCTTCACCTCACTGCCCGAAAACTTCAATAAGGGGTAAAACTCATTCCCATTAGAGTCGGCTGAAGGATGTCTCCAGGCTGAGAGGGCTTTGGGATCTGCTGTTTAATACTTAAATTATTTAACCAGACAACACTAAAAATGCATAACATATGCAAGCCACAAAAAAAAAAAAAAAGGATAAAACAGGAGGGGAAAGCGAGTCTGCTGACACACAAACACGGCCAGTAAATACCGTGTGGTTCATTAGATACGGGCTGGGGCGATTCTGCCCAGCAGTTAAAGGCCTCTCACTTCCTCTGCCTGCTCCAGATTGTTGCCTTGTACAAGCTCCTCTCTCCAGCTCTGCCGGTTCCCAGTTTGCCACCTTTTAAATGTGGAGCTGTTGATCCTCTCTGCTGTTGCAGTGCAACACTTTGATGCCAAAAAACCCCCCTTCCTCCGCTGAATCCACAAGTTTCGGGGATGCTGGGACTACTCAGGAAAAGCAGGCAACATGTAATGAAATTATGTGGAAGAGAAGGATCCATTAGAGCAAGGAGATACCCGTAAATCCTGTTAGCAGCCGAGCATTTCCATAGAAATTTCCTGATTCTGGATGCCCCGCACCTTTCCTGCGCTTCCATTTCCTTAACACCACTCCTAAATCTCTACGTGGCTTCATTTACAAACCTAAAACCCAAATGTAAATGGAGGGGGGAGGATCTCTTTGAAGTCCTGTCTCCTTTGTGGGTTTTAACTCTTAAATTTCGTTGTTCAGGGTCTACTGGAAAGAACAGCCTCCAGCTCTTGGAGTAGGAATCATCTCTTGGCTTTACACTCCTCCAGCACCACTCAGTTAACTATGAGCTGTGTGGTTTTAGTCCTTTTAGTATCTTTTAGTTACTTGCTCTTTGTTGTACTTTTATTCCTTTGCTCTTTGTGCTCCAACCGGTGCAGAACGGCTTCTAAGTACACAGATTTATTCTGTCAGCCTCGCGCTGCTTCCCTTAAACATCAAAATATTAAAACACAAAAGCTCCCTGATTACTCATCAGCAGATCGGTGACTTTACACACAGACAGCTTTCTCTGGAGCAAATTAAAACAACTCCTTCAAAAAACTTGGGCTGAGGTGGATTGTTTCCAGATCCTCTTTTTTTTTTTTTTTCCCCCCCTTCAATAAAAAAGGCAGGTCCCAATAAACAGCCGCTGTAGAGAAGCTGATGGCTCACCACATTGTGATGCTGGTGGTTTTGGTTTCACTGCAATCCTCTGTTTAGAGAGCACAAGATGGGAAAATGTCACTTTGTCCACATGTCCCATAAGAATAAATCATCCTGGATACTTCAAATGGATAAAATGTCCCCCAACAAAGAGCTCATTTCTTAGTCTGCACTGCAAAGCGTGATGAGGCCTGGTAGATAGTTTAAATTGTCATAGGAGAATTATCAAAAGCCTAAAAAAACCCCCCAACACATTAAAACGAAGAACTGAAATTCTTCAGCTGCAGGAAATTCAAGTGTTGGAGAGAGAAAAGCCCACAGCACCCTGATATCAGGAACTCTTAATTGAGGAAAAGTGGTTTATTCCTACATGTCCTTTTCAGTGTGCTCTTGTCTAAGTTATTGTTTGTCCTCTTGTTTTTATGGCAACCACTCCAGGACTGACCACTTTAATATTCACTGCTCGAGTGTTTGCAGTGACTCCTGAGAACTGGGAGGGACAATGTGCCCAACACAGGGATCCTCAGCACGGCTGTGTAGGGGGTGGAGATACACCTTGAGAAGTCTCAGGCTGTGTAGGGGGTGGAGATACACCTTGAGAAGTCTCAGGTTCTGAGATGAAGTCTAAATCAATTATTCTGACTGAATTTTGTTCAATTAATGATGTTAATTGCCTGCCTGGAGACCGTTTAAAATTTGAAACCATTTCATAACTTATACATAAAGATTTTGCAGTTGGGAGTGATTTGTTGATACCAGGTTTGATACAAATCCCTCTCCTGCTGTTTTTTTTGGCTCTCTGGTGCCAGGTGGAAGGGCAGTCCTGCTTAGTTTGGGAAAACAGATGATCTGGTTGAGAATTGTGCTTTATTTTAAGTAATTACCAGATCCAGGGTAGTATTTACACCTGTATTTTTCACGTTCTGGC